GCAAACTTTAAGCTTTTACTGTTTGCCATTGTTCTTAAATTAGTAAACTGGCAAGAATTAAATAATAAATATAATAACTGAGTATAGGAGAGCTTTTCCCTTTGATTTATGTAAATGTTGAAATCTTGTGGGTAAACTTGCAGACAGACTTTTACAGAAGAGTCAATGTTGTTCCACTCAGCATTGCTGGCCTTAAACAGTTACAAACATTGCCAAGCTAGTTTGTGTTTAATGTGAGACCAAATGTTCAAATAGGGCTTAAATCTGGACACGGACTGGGCCGGAAAACATTAGTAATAACCATTAGTACTTTTTAACTTTTATTTTATTTATTTATTTATTTTTTTGCACAAGAGTGTAGATGTGTATTGTGTGTGCAGAGAACACATTATACTGGAAAAAATAAACATTACCTCTTGCAGGGAAATGCTACTTTATTATGATAATCAGAATAGGCGCTGAGGTATTAAAACAAACATATTTACATGCAACAGATGAGTCAGTCAACGCAAGTATTACTTGGCAAGTCCAGTGATGAAGATTAAAGCCTGATAAACTAATTTATGAGATATAACATTATCTCATGTTAATTATTTTTATTTTTTACATTTCAGGCCTGATGTTTGTTTTTTTAGAATGGTTGCAAGCTATCATGCCCTTAAACAGCAAGCAGACGTCTATTAATAACGTTAGCACAGCTATAGCTAAACTTTCTAACTGGTCTACAGTCGATCAAAATACTAACAAATCCATATATATATATATATATATATATATATATGTATATATGTTGTGTCTAAGCTCATTGTCCATTTTATCAGCTTTTACTATATAGATGTACTTTGTAGTTCTACAGTTACAGACTGTAGTCCATCTGTTTCTCTGCATAATTTGTTACCCTGTTCTTCATTGCTCATGACCCCCCACAGAGCAGGTACTATTTGGATGGTGGATCATTTTCAGAACTGCAGTAACACTGATGTGGTGGTGGTGTGTTAGTGTGTGTTGTGCTGGTATGAGTGAATCAGACACAGCAGTGCTGCTGGAGTTTTTAAACACTGTGTCCACTCACTGTCCACTCTATCAGACACTCCTGCCTTGTTGGACCACCAGGTAGATGTAAAGTCAGAGACAGTAGCTCATCTGTTGCTGCACAGTTTGTGTTGGTCATCCTCTAGTCCTTCATCAGTGGTCACAAGAAGCTGTTGGCTGGATGTCTATAGTTCTCAGTCCAGCAGCACTGCTGTGTCTGATCCACTCACACCACCACCACTTCAGTGTGACTGCAGTGCTGAGAATGATCCACCACCCAAATAGTACCTGCTCTGTGGGGTCCTGTGGGGGTCTTGACCATTGAAGAACAGGGTAACAAAGTATGCAGAGAAACAGATGGAGTACAGTCTGTAACTGTAGAACTACAAAGTGAAACTATATGGTCAGTGGAGCTGATAAAATGTACAACGAGGTCAGATACAGGGAGGTGGACTTTATGATGGATCTCGTGCAAACACTGTCTACTGTAAACTGTACAGGAAGACTTAAGTATCATAGCAGCTTTCAAATAAAGAATTTAACAAAAGAGGTTAAATGTGGATTCCCAATTTTTTACAGTATGGGAGAGGATGCATGGCAGGTGGGTGGAAAAGAACAAAATGGGTGTTTGGAATGCTGGGCGTCAAAAAACAAGCGAGACACACATGCAAACCAGTCCTTCGATTGGTAGAGTGAAGATCAAGAGCTCACCTCGTACCACTTATCATCCACCATGTGAGGACTGGCACAGCAGTGATAAGTGATGAGTGGCGAGGCTATCAAGGGGCCCTGGAATGCCTTTGATACAGTCACTTTACTGTAACTGAATTTGTACTTTCATTGAGTGACTTTTTTTGTTTGCAATTGCTGAGCAAATTTCTTCATTTTTTTATTTGTAATTTTTAAGTATATTTCTTCTTTTTTGTACTTGAGCAAATTTCTGTCTTTTTTTGTAATTGTTGAGCAAATGGCTTCATTTTTTATTTGTAATTGGTGAGCAAATGCCAATTAAAGTCATTATTTAATTTCACTCTTGGCCTAGTTTGAATTTACTGATGACCGGTAAATATGTGTTAAATGCCAGTGGCTGATAAACATTTACAGTGTTTAAGAAATAGTGAACGTGGTTCATTTTGGAGTATGTACTGTCAAAAGGTTTATATAATCAATTAATGTTTCCTAATTACGAATTACTGTATGGAGATGTCAAATCATACATAAGTGTATGTAAGGAGTGATAATGTGTTAACATGCATATGAAATTTAAATCCATATTCACTAATAGGTTGTAAGCCTTTAGAAATATTAACTAATAATGAAGAGTTTCAACTTAGTTCAGGTACTGCAAAAAAGTGTATAACTGATGCATATATAGCTTAAACATATTTGTTAACATTTTTATTTTACATATTATACATATTTATTCATGATTTGTAAGTATTTATAAACTAATTATGAACCGTTTCAACTTACTTTATGTACTGAAAAAGGCCTAGAACTAAAAGATCTTTTTTTGATTATAAGATTATTGTGTGTTACCTCAATATTTAGCCATAATATAGACTTGCTGTCACTTTATTAGACACAGCTGTCTTGCTGAAGCACATTGTAGGTGAACAGGAGCACAGAGCTGCTCTTGATTGGATACCTTTGGGGGTTGGAGCCCTCTCAGCCTAGCAGTGACAGTGAAGTATGTAGAACCGCAGCAGCACCGTTGTGTGTTATGCACTTGTAGCAGCGCCACACACTGTTCTGAGACAGCACACTGTTATACACAAGCTGCCAATCATAAACTTATGTACCTTTTCAAATTCTTAAGAACTAAAGATTTGTTCATGTTTAAAAGTATGAATGCACACACTGGCAACTACATGAACTGGTAATTATAAACATTTGCTATTTTTCAAATTCTCATGGATCAATGAGTTGTTAACATACTTGTAAATATGAATGCACACATTGGCAACATGAACTATCATTGATAAACATTTGCTCATTTTCAAAGCCTCATTAACTAGTCATTTATTCATTTTCCAATTCTGATGAACAAATTATTCATTAACATGTTTGTGAATATGAATACATGCATTGGTAACTACATGAACTGTCATTTGTAAACATTTGTTAATTTTCAAATTCTCATGAACTAATCATTTGTTCACAGCTATTAATCATTAGTTAATGGTATGTTAATAAAAATTATTATAAAGTGTTCCCATACATTCAAGTGAACTTTTCAAAAGTGTATTTAATATGAAAAGTACAAACTTTTAATGTTCACACTTTAAACATTCTTTAATTCAGACTGAATGTAAATGTTTCTATGTAGCACCAAAAAGGGTTCTGCTATTATATACAAGTTTGGCATCATAACAGTAGCAGAATGCTTTTTGGTGCTATATAGAACCATATCTGAAGAACCTTTTCACCATCCAAAGAACCATTTAATCAGGCAAACGGTTTTATATAAAATTCATAGTTCTAAATAAAATCATTTCCTTTATAAACTTTACTTTCAGTTTGTTCCCACACTAAGAATAAGCCGGCACAGTATTTTACTGAAGTACATGTACTTAAAATGTGACTAATTATTTCATACCTCTGATCATGTGATCGGTCAATGTTTTTTCAGATAAACAATTTGAAGTTTGATTTTGTTCTTAAAAATTCTATAATTCATAATTCATTTCTTCATGACCATTTTCCAGCCTCTCCTTATTCCTTGCAATTAAACAGGCTGTTTTTGTTACAGTGCCTTTAATACTGATATCTATATGTAAATAAGCTCTGTTGTGATTGGCTGTCCTGTATTGTTCAAAAACCAGTTCAATTACATTTTGAGTGGGCGGGGCTAAACTGCTGTAGGCAGAATAGGTGGATACATACATGAATAGATTGCAGCTTATTTTACATATTTGGACTGCTGGACTTTCATACAACTGCAGCAGTGTTCATACAACATTGAACCAATTTATTTTTCAAAAGTGAGGAAAAAGCATTTTTATGATATGAACCCTTTAAATAAATAACAACTCTAATGAACGCTGTACTCTCTCAACAGGTTATTCAATAAAATATCTGAAAAATGGATTACAGTAATAATAAAGAATAAACAGGCTGCAAGACTGCAAGATATTTTGATTTCATTTTTTTTATTTTTTGTTGTTGCTTCAAAGAATGCTACATACTGAATGAATTAATTAATGAAGAATTCCTTACTATACCAAAAAATTTATTTAAAAAGTGGACTTCATTTAATCTTTCTCCCACCAGAGTTTAAAGAGATCAGACTCACTGGGGGCTGTGAGGGGAATCTGGAAGTGTTCTACAATGGAACCTGGGGTAATGTGTGTGTAAATGGGATGGATGAAGACACAATAAGTCTCATCTGTCAGGAGCTGAACTGTGGAAGATCTGGCAGTGACAGGGCTACCAAAGCAAGAGTGGAGTCAGCTTTGAACTGGCTGGATAATCTGAAATGTAGGAGTCATGACTCCACTCTGTGGCATTGTCCATCTTCACCCTGGAGACAGAACTACTGTGATAAAAACAGTGAGGTGGCTCAAATTACCTTCTTAGGTAGGGAGTTTATAGTAGTTTTGTAGGATGATATGAATAGAATGTCAAAATTTTTTTGTTATTTTCTCTGAGTGCAACCAGACCAAATCAATACAGAACAGAATGTTCTAGAGAAATAAATCTTTAACCAAAATCTTTGTGTAACAGCTGAATGATTAATTAAGGCAGGAGTTGTATCACAACGCTAAGTGGGGCTCCATTTGTCATGACCTTTGGGACATCAAGGACGCTCAGGCGGTCTGCAGGCAGCTGGGCTGTGGGCCGGCGCTGAGAGCTGATGGGAGTGCTGTCTTTGGTGCTGGTGAAGGGCCTATCTGGCTGAACAGAGTGAAGTGTGGGACTGTCCTCATTCCCTCAAGGAACTGACACTGACTGCTCCCACAGTCAGGATGTTAGAGTCACCTGTGCAGGTCAGAGGAGTCGTTGGTTGTTGAGTTTCTGATTTCAATGGGATCGCTTTAATTGCAGCGTTAATAATCTCCAGGCCTGTATTGAAAGTGAACTTGCTAATGTTGTCTAAAGCTAGTTTGGCATATGCACTTCTTGAACCTAAGATTAGAATCAGACTATCCAGCTCCAATTTTAGGTAATATTTGTGTCATACACAGTACAAAGTGCAAATGTGCAGACATAAGTGTGCAAAAAAAAAAAAGACTAGAAACAGTGCAATAAATGCGATAAATAAACAGACATTAGACACAGGACAGTGCAGCGCCGACACAGCACTCATTTCTGATCATGAGGTAGGGTTGTGAAATAAGGTGCAAAGATTATTTAACATGCTGTGATCTGTGAGTTTACACAGTCAGATGACATACGTGAGCACAGCAGTTCCTGAGGTATATACAGTACTCGAGTAAGCAAAGTGTAAACACAGTATTAGCAGCAGAGTTCCAGATAGTGCAAAGAGCACCCAAAGAGGAGTGTGTGTGTGTGTGTGTGAGTGTAGAGTAAGTGTGTGAGGGGGGGTTCAGTTTAGTCCTTATGAGTTTAAAAACCTGATCGCTTGAGGGACAAAGCTATTGAGTCTGGCAGTGATGGCAGCAGTGATTCTCCGGTACCTTCTGCCAGACGGCAGCAGTGAAAAAAGTCCATGTGAGGGATGGATGGGGTCGTCCACAATGCTGGTGGCTTTGCGGATGCAGTGTGTGGTGTAGATGTCCATATTGGAGGGGAGAGAGACCCCGATGATCTTCTCAGCTGTCCTCACTATACGCTGTAGGGTCTTGAGGTTGGAGGCAATGCATTTCCCAAACCAGGCAATGATGCAGCTGCTGAAGATGCTCTCCACGGACCCCCTATAGAACACGGTGAGGATGGAAGGGGGGAAATGAGCTTTCTTCAGTCTCTGCAGGAAGTAGAGGCACTGCTGGTCTCTCTTGCTTATGGAGTTGGTGTGGAGGGACCAGGTGAGGTTCTGCACTAGTCCGTTAGCCGCTGCACCTGCTCTCTGTATGCTGACTCAACGTTCTTGCTGATCAGACCTACCACAGTCATGCGAACTTGATGATGTCATTTGAGCTGTAATTTGCAGTACAGTCGTGAGTCAGCAGAGTGAACAGCAGTGGACTAAGCACACAGCCCTGAGGGGCACCGGTGCTCAGTATGGTGGCGCTGGAGATGTTTTTACCGATTTTGACTAACTGAGGTCTCTCAGTCAGGAAGTCCAGGACCCAGTTACAGAGGGAGGTGTTCAGGCCCAGCAGGCTCAGTTTTCCAATCAGCTGCTGAGGGATGATGGTGTTGAATGCTGAACTGAAGTCTATAAACAGCATTCTGATGTAGGTGTCTTTATTGTCCAGGTGGGTGAGAGCCAGGTGGAGTGTGGTGGAGATGGCATCGTCTGTTGAGTGGTTGGGGTGATATGCAAATTGCAGTGGGTTCAGTGAAGGGGGGAGCAGGTCTTTGATGTGCCTCATGACAAGACTCTCGAAGCACTTCATGATGATGGGAGTGAGTGCAACGGGATGGTAGTCATTGAGGCAGGACACTGGAGACTTCTTTGGCACAGGGATGATGGTGGTGGACTTGAAGCATGTTGGAATGACTGCAGTGCTCAGAGAGATGTTGAATATGTCTGTGACTTTTTTGTTGGTTGCTCATTTTTATGTTTTGTTTCTGTATTTACAGACATATCTGTACATTCTACTGCTGCACCCACAACAAAAACCACCACCTCCACCATCACAGGTACTTTTTTTCATTTTTCTAATTGTTTCTGAATAGATTGTTCAGTGATCTACACATTTTCGATTCTATATTTTTATTTCAGTTGGTGAGTCAGTGAAGAGAACAAACAGTCCTCTAGAAACTCTTCCACCATCTGTTCTGCCCATCTATCCAGTGTCTCTCCTGGTTCTTGGAGCGGTGCTCCTCCTGGCCTTAGTGCTTCTGGTTGTGCTGTTTTACCAGAACGGAGTGCTCAGGAGAGGTAGAGAGATTCAGAGATCATCTACAATCCACTTTCTGTACATTCTCTAAACATCATTAGTCCTTCAATCTGTCATCAGTCTTCTCCTCTATTGAACTGGCACCATGTTTCTCTCTGTCTCCCTCACAGTGCTCTCTAAGAGGAGGCGTAAGAGTCTGACTGAGGCAGTCTATGAGGAGATCGACCGCAGATACATCACTAAAAGAAATGACTTGACTCGAAGGGGTGAGTGATATATGATGTGTTTTACATGATGATTATTGTATTAAATTAAAGTGTATGTACATTAAACATAACATAAGACACCCAGCTATACCTGCTCACTCTCAGTGATCAAAGCAGTATTTAATGGTCTTGAATGCATAATGATTCAACAGTTTAACAGAAATTAAATAAATGTAATCAAAATCAGTTAACTGATAGTTTAGAGTATATTAGATGTAATGTGCAGAGTAGATCTACATGTAGTGTAGTGTGTTAATTCTGCTGATAAGCATCTATTAGGCAGCTGAAGTTAAACTGAGTAATTCCTGTAAAACTTCCATTTTTTTTTACATACAGAGAAACTACACAGCTGCAGGGGTGTGTGTGTGTGTGTGTGTTTGTAAGTGTGTGTGTGTGTGTATATGTGTGAGTGTGTCTTTGTGTGTGTGTGTGTGTGTGTGTGTGTATGTGTGTGTGAGATGGTTATCAGTGTGTGGATCAGCTCTCTGCAGGTGCAGCATTAATGCTGTACTACACTGGAGTGTTTCCTCTCTCTGAAGTCAGTCTCCTGTATGTTGGTGTGTTTCTCACCACACTGCTGTGAGCGTCTCTCCTCACACACACACCTCTAGAGACGGAGGTGGAGTTCTGTTGATCAGTGCTGACGCTCTTTCGATAAATATGGAGAAAGAAAAAAATGCCTCCTCTGATTTGTCACTGAAAATGTTTGATGATTTCCTCTTCTCTTTCTAATAAGGTAATAGTGAGTGTGATTGGCGGCTGTGGGGAGCTCTCTCTCTCCCTCTCTCAGTTTATTCAGTCTCTCTAGGGGAGTGGAGGTGAGGCTTGTTCTGCTGCTGAGTTGAACGGACTGTGAGCAGGTCAGAGGGAGATTGACAGCTGTGTGGCTCTCATTCTTCTGTCCTCTACAATCACACTCACCACAGCTGGTAAGAGCACTTTCACTGTTAAATAATAAATAAGATATATATTTTAAAATCTCTTTTATTTCTTTGCATATTAAGTCACAATTTCATTATTGTAAAATAGAATATATAATTTGTAAAGGAGATGCAATTTAAAGATCTTACTAAATACATCAAAAAAGTGCTGTAAATAGAAAAGTCTTCTTACTCTTGATGTGTGTTTTATGTCACGTGCTGCTGTGTGCCAGTAATCGGCCAAAAATGTCTCAAACATATTTTGTGTTGTTCAGGAAACGCTTTTGCTCTTTTCTCACCCCAGTTGATAAGTTCTCATTATTAACATTAACATTTTAAATACATTTCCATTGTATTTTTCTCCTTACATCTCCAGAATCAACAATTAATTCATAAAATGTTACCTAGTTATTGGCTGATTGAGTACTTAGTTGCCTGGTTGATTTATTGATTAAAAAACTGCACAAAACTACAATCAAACTACAAACTACTAAAAAACTACAATCAGTCTGTCTGTCTGTCTGTCTCTCTCTCTCTCTCTCTCTCTCTCTCTCACAGCCAGAGTGAAGTTGGTGAACACTGACAGTCGCTGTGCTGGGCGAGATTCATTGTAATGGAACATGGGGAACAGTATGTGATGTATAAATATTATTTTTAACATCACACTAGATTCTATTATATCAGATATTTTGAGTGTATTTAGGCTTGAATAACTAGAATTTTTTACTCTAGTGGTTCTGAAATGGGAGTTCCTGAGAGAATTTGAACAAAAGGAAAGACCACACAAAATTACAGTATCATTTAAGTGAAATTTCCTCGTTCCTTTCTAAATGAATGAACCATATTTATACACTGTATGAATTGAACTAGTTTCCCGTCCCGCACAAAGCAGTAGACTGTCTGACACTCACAGTACAGTGCACTTCCCTCACTGCTCATTGTGGGATCATCTGTTGAGTGTGTGCAAGTTCTGCATTATAAGCTGTAATAAATTACTAATAAGAGACGCAGGATTATCTTCTCACATCTCTATGGCCAGTTTACTTTGTTAGCTAATCTAACAGTACACATTAGCCCTCAGAGACCCAGTACTGTAAATTTTAACAACTGTTGCTGCCTACTTCTTTTTAGTGACTAAATGTCTCACAATGACTCACTAATATTACTCAGTAATATTAGATCAAATAAAACTTTGTTAAAATCACAATTAGAAATGACAAAAAATCAAAGCATTTAAAACTCATGGTTACATTGTCCCAAAATCCACCCTAACAGTGTTCGGGGTAACGCGGTACAAAGTAACGCATTACAGTAATATGATTATTTTTTTCTGTAACAAAATATTGTAACGTATCACAGATAAATATTTTGTAATCACATTACAGTCACTAACTTAATAAAAACTGATACTCGCATCACATTTTTCTATAAAAATATTATTTTTAATATTTTAATATGAAGCATGTCCTGAGCTGTTTTCTAACACCTAACGCAGCTGGTCGTGTGATCACAAATGTGAGGAGCGCAGCACAAATGCAGTTTGGCAACAATGGCAGAGCACAAAAGTGGATATTTCCGCAAATGGAGATATTCTCATTATTCTGAATTTGTTTCACGCAAAGACAAAAACAGTACCATGAAGAGTAAGCTATATCCAGGCCAAAAGCACATTTTAACAGCTGCAAACTCAACAAAGAAATTTGTCGAAGCACTTAATCTGGGTGCATGCTAAAACGAAACTCGTGGCTAAAGACCCCTGTCCCGAAGGATAGAGTACCCAGACTCACTTTGCTCTGCGTTAAGCTTTAGCTCAGCTATAACCACATTTCTTGCATCTCCATCAGGAAAAGCAGAATAATTTCTTGTAAAATGTCTCTCAATTTTAGACTTTTTACGTGACTGAAGTCGCTTCTCATTCGCCAGCTTTGTGTTCAAATTTTTCCGTTCCACCTTAAATTGTGCCTGAGGTGGCAGAATGTAATTGCTGCACCATTTAAGGTGGAATGGGAGAATTTGAACAAGAATCTGACTTCAACCTCGCGACTTTTTAGCGTTTGGCAGTTTCTCATTGCAGATTAAACGTTTTACGAAACCAGTTGGAGCGCTTATAAATGCAGATGAATCCATTCGTCTCCAAATTATCCATGGTCGTCTTAAATCATTCTTTTTTACCTTTTCGTTAGCTACTAGCTAGGTGAGACTGTTGTCTGTGTTGCTGTTGACCAGCAGTCTGAGCGCCAGCAGGATTAAAGGCTGGCGAATTAGCAGTTATAGGCTACAATAACTCCAGCTTTTAAGACCATTTATTATTAAAACTGTATTAGAACTGTCAGCAGAGCTTTAGTTTACAGAAAAGGAGGATTATTTTATTTTTATTTAAAAATCTAGATCTGCTGTGGAGCCACAACAGGGCAGTAGAAGAGCTGCATGTTGTTGACCCCTGATTTAGACAAATACTTAACAGGATACCAGTCACAGGCAAAAGTGTACCGCCATCAGACCAAAAAACATTTTGGTTACTTCAGTTCTTATACTTGCCTGTCCACATGCATGAAATATAGGTTTTGTTTTGTTGGTCCAGTGAAAAAGCTTTTATTGGACTTTATTTTTCTATTGCTTAAATACATTTGGACTTGTTCAGAGAAAATAGTAACACCAAGTGTAGTGAAATTCATTTTATACAGGTTTAATGTTGCTATTACTGATATATTTTGTTCCTAAATAAGCTATGGGAAGAACTATTGTCTATCATTTTTGCACTTTACAGATATGTTTGTAGATTTGATTCCAGTATGTTTTGTATGGGTTTTAGAATGTAACTTAAAAGTAATGAGGTTTGAGATTACATTTTCCAGAAAGTAATGAGTAAAGTAATCCTATTACAATTTTAGTTAAGTAAATAGTAATCAGTAATGGACTACTTTTTTGACACTGCATCCCAAGGCAAAATATGTAAAAAATAACATTCTTTTCAAGGTCAGTGGCTTAATAAATGATTTAAAAGGGAAAATAAATGAAAATACATAACAAAAATCAGTACTTGGGTCTCTGAGGTTGAATTCCATCTGCTAACCAAATATACATTTGTGTGTGTTTTGAACAAATCCTTTAAAACAGAGGGGAGAAAAAGGAAAATAAAAAGGGTAATACATCTTGCAAGAAGGATAGACAAACCTACATTTGCTCACAATTATCACCTTTTTTTCCAAAGTGCCAAATATCTATAAATCTATTATGTTTTCTATGCTGTGCACAGTTTTAATGTAATGTATACATACAGGTCAGACAAAAGAGTCCATACTTACTGATGGTCCTCATCTCTGCTCTGGGAGAGTGGAGGTGTTTAATGGAGAGACCTGGTCCACAATGTGTGATGCTGACTTTGACCAGCAGGATGCAGAGGTTGTTTGTCGAGAGCTGGGCTGTGGGCCTCCTTTGGAAGTGCTGGGAGTAGCTGCTTTTGGCAGAGGGGAGGGTCAGGTGTGGTCAGAGGAGCTTCAGTGTAGAGGCAACGAATCTCAAATTTCCTTCTGTCCAACATCATCTTCGCTCAAACACAACTGCACCCATGAGAATGATGTGGGACTGGTGTGTGCTGGTAAAGTATTAATATTTAAGCTCTCCTTAAAAGAAAACTTTCAGTAAACCTTGCCACTGTTTGTCATATTATACAAGCAATGAGATTCCTTTATGCTGATTCATGTAATGTGATGTTGATTCAGGTCACAGTCAGACTCAAATGGTGAATGGCTCTGACTCCTGTTCTGGTCGAGTGGAGCTTCAGTACCTCAGTGAGTGGGGCACAGTGTGTGATGTAGGCTGGGATATGAGAGCTGCCAGTGTCCTCTGTGGTCAGCTGAAGTGTGGGAGTGCTGTGGCTATGTTGGGGTCAGACTGGTTTGGGGAGGGGAGTGGCCGGATTTGGGCTGATGTGTTTGACTGTCAGGGGAACGAAACACACCTGTCAAAATGTCCCATTTCATCATGGAGTCGAACTGCATGCACTCATAAACAGGATGTTGGAGTCATCTGCAGTGGTGAGCACTGCACTCAAAACTACTGTACTGCATGTAAAAGTAATTAATATCATGTTAGTAAATGAGTGTATCAATGACACCCTCAAATTAAAACAGAAATTATAATTTTTTTTCTCCTCAGATTCCTCTCTGGTGTCTCATGAAGGGAGAGTGCGGTTTTCTGGAGGGATGGAGTGTGAGGGGGAGGTGGAGGTGTACTTTATGCAGGACTGGAGGAGAGTTCTGCTGGACTCCTGGAGTGAGTCTGAGGCCTCTGTGGTCTGCAGACAGCTGGGCTGTGGCTCTGTGTTCAGCTTCTCCAGCTCCTCTACATCCAGTCCTGAACACAGACACATGTGTGTGATGGGTTTCAGTTGTTCTGGGAGTGAAGCTCACCTGGGGAACTGCAGCAGCGCACAAGCAGTCAACTGCAGCTCCAGAGAACAGCTCTCCATCACCTGCTCTGGTCAGTATTAACACACCTAATTATTTAAAATGCCTAAAAATGTATTTTCATTTTGATTATTTAACAGAAGATTAACTTCCTTCATCATGTAGAGGAACAATAAGTAATTACCTTAAAACAGTTGTGTATTTTAATTTATTAAAGGAAATGATTGAACATTTGATTTTGTCACTAATGAAACAATCATAACACCAACAGTTTATCAAACATTTCAGTAGTGACTGTAGTAGTTTTGGCAGTGATAATTTTAGCTAATTTTGAGCAGAACGGTAGCCAGCACATGAAAAACAAGAACAGCTTTAACAGTTGGGATTTTTACCCAATTATCTCCCCAATTTAGTAGTTTCCAATTCCACCCACTAGTTAGGACTCCCCCAATCACACGATACTATCAATGCTGAAAGGTTCATGGTGAAGGCTAACACAGGCTTCCTCCGCGACCTGTGAAACCAGCCACCGCTTCTTTTCGAACCGCTGCTCACGCAACCTCATTGGACAGCTGAATGCGCTCGGAGGAAAGCGCCAACCGCCAGATCTGTTACGTCAGCTAACAGACGCCTGCGCTGACTAGCATCGCGCTGAGTGATGGGGGGAGAAGGAGGGGCCATCCTACCCACCCAGAGAGAGCGAGGCCAGTTGTGCTCTCTTGGACTCCCTGGCTGTAGCATCACCAGGGATCGAACTCAAATCTAAATATTTCTAACCATACGAAAAATTTATTTAATTGCAGAACATATGTGATTATATAGTTCTTAAAGTTATTTCACAATTTCCAGACTTTGAGACACATTAACTTCAAAATAACGGCAGGGATGCAGTCTCACTTCCGGCTCTAAAATGCAGGAGTGTGGCTAAAATAAGGCTCCGCCTATGGACTGAAACTTTTTGTGTTTCGATAGCAACGGGAAAAGAAAGAATAACATTTTTGAATAAAGTTTTTCATTTAAAAATTAATCTCATAATAGATCTAAATATCTTAACTTTAAAGGAAATCAGGAAGATCTATTTAAAAAGTGTTATCTTTACAAGTGTAAATATAAGGTTGGAGTTGAAGACAAACAATTCCCAATAGAAACTACCCCATATTTTTTCTATATAATTAGCTTATTACTCCTTCTACTCCATCTCTATTAATGTCTTGGACTGTTTAAACGTTTTTATGACATGATACACTATATTGCCAAAAGTATTCACTCACCCATCCAAATCATTGAATTCAGGTGTTCCAATCACTTCCATGGCCACAGGTGTAAAAAATCAAGCACCTACGCATGCAGACTGCTTCTACAAACATTTGTGAAAGAATGGGTCGCTCTCAGGAACTCAGTGAATTCCAGCGTGGTACCATGATAGGATGCCACCTGAGCAACAAGTCCAGTCGTGAAATTTCCTCGCTACTAAATATTCCACAGTCAACTGTCAGTGGTATTATAACAAAGTGGAAGCGATTGGGAACGACAGCAACTCAGCCACAAAGTGGTCGGCCACGTAAAATGACAGAGCGGGGTCAGCAGATGCTGAGGCGCATAGTGCGCAGAGGTCACCAACTTTCTGCAGAGTCATTCGCGACAGACCTCCAGACTTCATGTGGCCTTCAGATTAGCTCAAGAACAGCATAGAGAGCCTCATGGAATGGGTTTCCCTGGCTGAGCAGCTGAATCCAAGCCTTACATCACCAAGTACAATGCAAAGCGTCGAATGCAGTGGTGTAAAGCGCCGTCACTGGACTCTAGAGCAGTGGAGACGTGTTCTCTGGAGTGACGAATTGCGCTTCTCCGTCTGGCAATCCGATGGACGAGTCTGGGTTTGGCGGTTGCCAGGAGAACGGTACTTGTCTGACTGCATTGTGCCAAGTGTAAAGTTTGGTTGAGGGGGGATTATGGTGTGGGTTGTTTTTCAGGAGTTGGGCTCGGCCCCTTAGTTCCATTGAAAGGAACTCTTAATGCTTCATCACACCAAGAAATTTTGGACAATTTCATGCTCCCAACTTTGTGGGAACAGTTTGGGGACGGCCCCTTCCTGTTCCGACATGACTGCGCACCAGTGCACAAAGCAAGGTCCATAAAGACATGGATGAGCGAGTTTGGTGTGGAAGAACTTGACTGGCCTGCACAGAGTCCTGACCTCAACCTGACAGAACACCTTTGGGATGAATTAGAGCGGAGACTGCGAGCCAGGCCTTCTCGTCCAACATCAGTGTCTGACCTCACAAATCCGCTTCTGGAAGAATGGTCAAAAATTCCCATAAACACACTCCTAAACCTTGTGGAAAGTCTTCCCAGAAGAGTTGAAGCTGTTATAGCTGCAAAGGGTGGGCCGACATCATATTAAACCCTATGTATTAAGAATGGGATGTCGCTCAAGTTCATATGCATGTGAAGGCAGGCGAGTGAATACTTTTGAAAATAGAGTCAGGATAGTCTCTCCACATTCACTCAGATGTTTCACACTAAAGAAAATATTTTAACTCAAAATTCACAAAAACAGACACAAAAGTTGTGTCTTTACTGGTGGAGATTCCCAAGGTTTAAAAAATAAATAAATAAATAAATAAAAAAAATAAACAAACAACCAACCAAACAAACAAACAAACAAATTATTTATTTATATAGCACTTTTCTAAGTCAGACTACAAAGTGCTTCCCAACAGTCAAATAAAGTAAATAAAATAACAAAACAATGTAAAACAAATAACATAAAACCCAAGACAATACAGCTTCATCCACAAAGAACATTAGCTGTGTCGAACCTAAAATGCTAAGCCATACACACGTCTTAATGTTAATATTTCAGCTCCCCAACTCTGAGGAACCACTTCAATATTTATAGAGGGAAACAAAATATTATTCCTAAGATCTGTGATCTTATCCTTGAAGAACTTTAAAAATTGTTCAACATCAATCATAGAACTGGGTGTGCTCTGGGTGTCTCCATTTACTAGGGAGTCCATCCTAGAAAACAAAAACCTTGGGTTATGTATATTACCAGTTATTAAATCATTAAAATATTTGGCTGTAGCATCCCTAACTCTATTATTAAAAACAGACCACAACTCCTTCGAGTATAAATAATGAACTTGAAGCTGAGACTTTCTCCATTCTTGCTCTACCCTCAACTGCAAAATATCATTTATCCATGGTGTACAATTCACAAGACGTTTTATCCTCATTCTGACAGGGACACCCTTGTCTAAAAACACTTAAGCATAACTTATTTAAACAACTAGGAGGTCATTAACATCAGTGCAGAGAAGCAACTGTGTACATGTAAACACAGAAAATTGTGATATTGATTTATCATTAAGAAAGCATGACTCTATACATTGTTTGGAACCAGCCTTAATCATAAACAGGGGCATATTAAAAGTAATACACTTAGGATCTGACAGAAATAAATCCGCCACAGAGACAGAATGGGGAGACATACATAAAGTGAACACTAGATCCAAAAAAATTAACAGATTCCATGGTGTTCAAAAATTCTGTAGTAGATCCGTCAGAGACATTGTCAATATGAATATTAAAATCACCAAGCAACAACACTTTGTCATATTCCAAAACTAGAGAAGAAAGTTTGATAATTCTGACCAAAATAAATAAATAAATAAATAAATAAACAGCCTTGAGATCTGACATTAAATCACAGCACAAAATACTGGATTTTTGCCAAGCACTTTAAAAGACAACGTTTCATAGTTCATTTAGGTGCCAGTTCTTGCCAGTTTTGAGCCAAGTTTCTACTAAAAACAAAAAAAAAAAATCAAAGTTGTTGGAAGATACAAAAAAATGCCTTGTTTGACAAGGATCTAACATTAAAAAGTGCCATCTTAGCATCAGAGAAATGTCTCGTAACCAAAGGCGAAAGGCAGGGGATTTCACGTAGATTATTTAGACTCATCCCACCGAATCTAACCAGACACTGTGGGTTTCTCAGTATGCGCACAAGAATGTAGTGCTGGAAAAAACTGGCTGCATCCAAACATAGCGCTCCTCCAGTGGACATCGCAAGAAAAAGTATTCAAGATGCTTGTATAAACCACCTGAAAGCCGGAGACGATTTGATTCATATAATCGACCTGAATGGTGAGACATGCAGTCGGAGCAGGCCACCTCTATTCCCTCCTTTCCTTCTACGCCACTGTTTCCATGCACTCGAAAGTTGTTTAAACTGTTGGGAGCAACAAAACTCTGACCCAGCAGCAGGTGTTATAACTGATTCGGTTCCCCTTCAAATTCACGTTCCCTTTGACGAATCAGGTCCTCGGGCGCACACATTCACTGAACAGAAAACAAGACTAAGCAACACTGGAAGTATGGAAAGCGAAAAAGTTCATAAAAAGATTGAACGGACGCGTGTTTTCACCCAGTCCCCAATATAAATCAAGATAAATCAAAGATAACACGACATAATTGCGATTCGGTGATAAATATTATTTTCAATTCTATTAAACAATCGTGCTGATAAATACGTTTTGCAGTGTTCGTCGCCGACTGGGTGAATACAGCTGCCCTACAAACCTTTTTTTGAACCTTTTCGCTCTGCATAGTTCTAGTGTTGCTTGGCGTTGTTTTCTGTTCAGTGAATATGCGCGCCCAAGGACCTGATCTGTCAAAGGGAATGTGAATTTATGAATACAGCTCCTGTGGCAGCAGCAATGGAGGTGGGTGGGAAAAACGGACCTACCTCTCTCTCTGACAAAACCCTCCAACACTCAGGTACGAATGCTCATCAACATCCCATGATCATAAGTAATGGGCAGAGCATGCACTTGATTAAGCAGAGACACGAACAATAATAAAACCAGGTAGGAGCACACCTGAGACGTTGCCATACACCTGCGCCATCTTGGATCAAATCTTTTAATCATTTAAGTTTTCATGAACTTTGAAAGTGCAAATAGGGTTTAAGGGTATGTGAACGTACTGGGGGCTGTGCACTATAGCATGAAGCATTTAATGTGAATTACTCTGTGTGTGTGTGTGTGTGTGTGTGTGTGTGTGTGTGTGTAGGTAAGTTTAATTCAGCTCACAGCTCCATCAGGCTGGTTGGTTCTGGGGGAGACTGTGCAGGAAGACTGGAAGTTTTCCACAGCGGCTTATGGGGGACAGTGAGTGATGACTTGTGGGATATTAAGGATGCGCAAGTGGTCTGCAGACAGCTGCAGTGTGGAGTGGCCCTCAGTTTTCCGGTACCATCTTGGTTTGGCCCTGGAACTGGACCAATATGGCTGAATGAGGTGGAGTGTGAGGGGAACGAGACGTCCCTGTGGAACTGCAGATTTCAGCTGTGTGGAGAGGATGAATGTGGACACAAGGAGGATGTAGGAGTCGTGTGCTCAGGTAAAGTGATATTTATGTTTGCAGAAGCTGCAGGTTTTAATGAAGTTATCATGGAATGCTAAATACTGAATGAATGAATTAATAAAAGAATGAAGAATTCATTAACATACTAATTTATGTCAGTTAAAAACTGAGGATTAAGGATTGGACTTAGATTAATTCGATCTTTCTCCCACCAGAGTTTAAAGAGATCAGACTCACTGAGGGCTGTGAGGGGAATCTGGAAGTGTTCTACAATGGAACCTGGGGTAATGTGTGTGTCAATGGGATGGATGAAGAAACAGCAAGTTTGATCTGTCAAGAGCTGAACTGTGGAAGATCTGGCAGTGAGTTCTGGTCCAAAGCAAGAGTGCAATCAGCTCCTAACTGGCTGGATAATCTGAAATGTAGGAGTCATGACTCCACTCTGTGGCAATGTCCATCTTCACCCTGGAGACAGAATATGTGTATTAATCGCAATGAGGTGGCTCAAATTACCTGCACAGGTACGGGTTTATAGTAGTTTTGTAGGATGATATGAATAGAATGTCAAAATGTTTTCTGTTAGTGCCATCAGGCCAAATAAATCAACAGAACTAAATGTTCTAGAGAAATAAATATTTAAGCAAAATCTTTGTGTAACAGCTCAATGATTAACGAATTATCTTAATATACTCACAGAAGAGAAAAATGATCGTGTGTTACGAAGCCATCTGAAATGTTCCTCATCTGCCCGTCATAGACAGTGCTCAAGTAAGAAGTAAAAACTAATATGCACAATATCTCATTAACTAGAGCAGAACATTAATCAAACAAGTGTTACAAATTTAATTTTGTTCTTCATTCAAACATTAATGACCTTTTAATCAGTACTTTTACTCATAGTGAAAAACTATGTTGTAATATAAAGCTCTACTGTTATTAATTCTGTAATGAATCTTGTTCGTCAGTGTTTCTGTATCTCCTCATGTGTGATGTGTGTGATGTAGATCACCTGCCTCTCAGACTGAAAGGTGGAAAGGGAAGCTGCTCTGGGAGGCTGGAGGTGTATCATAACGCTGAGTGGGGCTCCATCTGTGATGATCTGTGGGACATCAGGGATGCTCAGGTGGTCTGCAGGCAGCTGGGCTGTGGGCCGGCGCTGAGTGCTGATGGGAGTGCTGTCTTTGGTGCTGGTGAAGGACCTATCTGGCTGAACAGAGTGAAGTGTAGAGGGAATGAGATTCACCTGTGGGACTGTCCTCATTCCCTGAAGAACCACACTGACTGCTCCCACAATCAGGATGTTGGAGCCACCTGTGCAGGTCAGAGGATACTGCTGGTTTTTGGAGATTCCAAAGGAATCACTTTAATCTCAGTGTTAATAATCTGCAAACCTGCATTAAAATGTGAACTTACTAATATTGTCTAAAGCTAGTTTGACATATGCAGTTCTTTAACTGTAACATTAGAATCAGACTATCCAGCTCCAATTTTAGCCAATATTTGTGTTTTGTGCTTAGTTGGTTGCTTATTTTAATGGTTTGTTTCTGTATTTACAGACATATCTGTACATTCTACTGCTGCACCTATAATTACAACCACCACCTCCACCGCCACAAGTACTTTTTTGTTTCTTTGGTCATCTTTTGAATTGTTTCAGAATAGGTTATTCAGTGATCTACACGTTTCTCATCCTGTATTTTTATTTGCAGTTGGCCAGACAGTGAAGGGAACAGACACTCCTCCACAAACTCTTCTAGCAGCTGTTCCATCCATCTATCCAGTGTCTCTCCTGGTTCTTGGAGCGGTGCTTCTCCTGGCCTTAGTGCTTCTGGTTGTGCTGTTTTACCAGAACAGAGTGCTCAGGAGAGGTAGAGAGATTTAGAGATCATCTACAATCCACTTTCTGTACATTCTCTAAACATCATTAGTCCTTCAATCTGTCATCAGTCTTCTCTTCTACTGAACTGGCTCCATGTTTCTCTCTGTCTCCCTCACAGTGCTCTCTAAGAGGAGGCGTAAGACTCTGACTGAGGCAGTCTATGAGGAGATTGACCGCAGATACATCACTAGAAGAAATGACTCGACTCAAAGGGGTGAGTGATATATGGAGTGTTTTCCATGAGGATTATTGTGTTAAATTATCCTTACATTAGATATAATAGGAGACATCAAGCTATACCTGCTGACTCTCAGTGATCAAAGCAATATTTAATGTTTTTGAATGTATAATGATTCAACAATTTAACAGAAATGAAATAAACGCAATTAAAATCAGTTAAATGAGAGTTTAGTGTATATTCGATCTGCAGATGTGCAGAGTTGGTCTACGTGTAGTGTAGTGTGTTAATTCTGCTGATAAGCATCTATCAGGCAGCTGAAGTTAAACTGAGTAATTCCTGTAAAACTTCCATTTTTGTACATACAGAGAAACCACACAGCTGCAGGTGTTTGTGTGTGTGTGTGTGTGTGTGTGTGTGTGTGTGTGTGTGTGTGTGTGTGTGTGTGTGAGAGAGAGAGAGAGAGAGAGAGAGAGAGAGAGAGAGAGTGTGAGTGAGAGAGAGGAAGACAGAAAGACTGAAGGTGTTGGGGGTGTTACGTGTTTGTGTGTAATTGTGTGTGAGAGGGAGAAATATTGACAAAGAGAGAGAGAGATAAAGAGAGAGAGCATAAATGTGTATGTGTAGGAAAGTCACATTTTGAAGTTGAGTATGTGTGCATTTAAATGTAAGTGTGTGTGTGTGTGTGTGTTTGCATGTGTGTGTATGTTGTGGGAAATCACTGTGAATGAGTGAGTGAATTAGCCAGTGAGCCAGTCAGTCAAGGAGTGAGTGACTGAGTGAATGACTGAGCCAGTCAATGAATGAGTGAGAGTTTGAGTGACTGAATCAGTGAGTCAGTGATTGAGTGAGTGAGTGAGCCAGTCAGTGAGTGACTGAATGAGTGAAGGAGTGACTGACCTAGACATTGATTGAGTGGCTGAGTGAGTCAGCCAGTTAATCAGGGAGTGACCAAGTGAGTGAATAAGTGACTGAACCAATCAACCACTGAGTAAGTGATTGAATGAATGAGTGAGTGAGCCGGTCAATCAGTGAGTGAGTGAGCTGTTCAATCAGTGAGTGAGTGAGTGAGCAAGCCAGTGAATCAGTGAGTGAGGGAATGAGCCACTCAGTCAGTTAGTGAGTGTTTGTCCGAGTGACCAAGTGAGACAGTGATAACGTGAGAAAGTGACTGAGTGAGAGAGTGACTGACTGAGTGAATGATGTAGTGAGTGAGTGCCCAACTGTCCCTGTTTGTCACCAAGTGTCAGAGTGAGTGACTGAATGAATAACTGTGTAAGTAACCAATTGATCTTGGTTACTTGTGACCAAGAGACAGTGTGAGTGAGTGAATGACTGAATGACCTACCGAGTTCCTTATTGAATGACTGAGTAACCAAATGACTGAGGGAATGACACAATAAGGGAATAATGACCATGTAAATGAGTGACCAAGGGAGTGAATAGGTGACTTCATGACTGAATGAGTTACCAAGTGACAGAGTAAACAAGTGACTGAGAAAGTGAACAAGTGAGTGATTAATTGACCAAGTGAGTGACCAAGAGACTGAATGACCTAGTGTGTCAGTGAGCGAGTGAGTGTTAAGTGTTGTATCTGAGAGCGCCCTCTACTGGCTGCACTAATATTATTTCCTGTAACCAACACAGTTCACAATGATCCACAGCACTCAGAGGATTGTGGGTGGTTCTGCATTCTGAATGTGTTTGATGTCTGTTCTACTCTCCTCTAACAGGAAGTATCCTCTCTGAAGAACAGCATTCAGGATATGAGGATGTGGATGAGGAGCTTCTCTCAGGTAAGAGGACCAGAACATGTGTGTGTGTTAAAAAGCTGGAAACTGACAAGCATCACAATCACCAGTCAATAGTCACTGTCACCCTTTCTAGTAGTATTTACTGCTTCTTGTTATTACAGAGTGGCATTTTTGTTTTAACTGAGTCAGTTTAGTTTGTTTCTCGGATTAAAGATTTGATTCATCTCTAGATCAGAAATGTCTGGCAGAAATGATTTTATGTGTAATCTTAGTGTCTCACACTGTAGCTAAAAACAACACTAAAATTCAGGCTTCTGAAATGATTCTTACACTGAAGTCTTTCTGAGTATTTTATTTGCAGATTAATTAAAAGTTATAAAGTCTGTTGTTTGCATGTGTGTGTGTGAGAGAGTAAGTGTGTGCTGAAGACAGTGGTGGGATGGACAGTGATTGTGTGTGTGAGTGTGTGAGAGAGGTAGTGTAGAGATGTGTTGAGGGGCTCTTGAGTATTTGTACTTGTATAATTTTGGATCTGTGTTTGTTGAGGGATTTTAATATCTATAAACACATTCACTCATGTTCAGGCATTCAAGTGATCTTATTTTTTAAAAGAAGAATTTATGAAATATGACTTCAAAATGATTTAACTAATTCCAGTAACAAGTATTTCACTGTTTTGTGATATTAAAGGGTCAAAGTTAATTTGAAAACTATAAACATTCACTCACTTTCAGGTAATCTCTATTTTAAAATAGTTCATTAAAAACTTTCTCTTGATGAAAAACACATTAATTACTTGATATGACCATTAAATCAGTACTCCAGTGGTTGTTGTTGTTGTTTAGGGTGAAAATCTGCCTAAAGTCTCTCTTTTCACCAGAATCTAAGGCAATATAAAGTCATGCTGATTCCTTTGAAGCTGGTCTGTAGTTCCTGATTAGATATTAATTTTTTATTTTTAATTTCCTTTCTGAAGTGTTTTGTATTAAAATGCTCTCTCACACACATACATTTATTTTAGTCTATTCCAGTGGTTAAGTGATGTCACAGAATTTATGGAACAAAATTGAAAGCAGAGCTGCAGATGCTGAATTCCTAATAAGAGATAAAGGAAAGAAAGAGGCATGAACTGTTTCAAAAATATTAAGACAATGTTTTTAACTACTTATAAAATCTGGAAGAGCACAGAAACAATATGTAAGGGCCCATATTTTTGTTATTTATTTATTAATTGTATTTATTTATTTATTTATTGTATTTATTTATTTTCCTTTTAAGTACACTTATAACGTTTGTTTGGGTTTATGTACCAAAAACAGTCATAGTTCGTATTTCATGACCATTTTCCAACCACTTTTTATGCCTTAGAATTAAACAGGCTGTCTTGGTTACTGAACCTTTAAGATTGATATATGCAAATCATCTCTGTTCTGATTGGCTGCCCTGTATTGCATGTCATTCAAAAAGCAGTCTGGGCTCCCTTTAACCTCAAAGTGAATAGGTGGAGCAAAATGACTGTTTGCTGAATATGTGGAGATATGTAAATGTGTTGGTTGTGACATCACAGAAACAGTGAACATAAAACAGGCTGTTTTCGCAGAGCAGTTTCCATAAATGGACTGTTTGAACTGAGGATTAAATGGTATATTTTGGAAGTTTAACAGTGTTTACATATGACATCAAACTCTTATTTCATAAATGTGAAGCAAATTCAGTTACATATGATAAGAGACCCTTTAAAACAGCAGCGATGATCTCAGCTCATCAGTACAATTAAAAATGGGAATTTACTGATTACTGATTCTCTGCCTCCATTTTGTGGTAAAAAAAAAAAAAATATTGCGATGATCAAAACTGTTTCCAAAAGACCTGAAATGTAAATATCTGTGTTAAACTAGTAAATTAAAAGAAAAAAATGATAAAAATGTAATTGTCGTTTGCATTTTTAAATATTATTTTATTATTATTTTATTATTCTATTTAAATATTCTGTAATTACCAATTTTCTTGATTTCCTTGAACAGCTCTCTCTGTCTTACAAAATAATTAAAACATGTTCTTACAGTCACAGAATGAAATAACTTATTTCTGTTTAAGCAATAGAACACGAGAGGGAGTGTGTTATCGCGAAATAACATCACGGCTGTGATTTGGTCGCTGTAGGTCATCACAGCCGTGATGTTATTTGCTATAACACATGACCTCGAGTGTTCTATTGCTTTTATACAACAGTTAAATAAATAAAGTAATAAACAAATAAATTGGGCCGTGAATGTGGCATTTAATATGATTTAATGTTAGCAGTTCCTTCCGCCAAATTATAGTTCCTTAACAAGCAGCTTGTTGCTACATCAGAGTAAAGAGCTCTGCTCACTCGCTGCACAGCCGGTAGTTCGCTCTCCAGCTTCTTAATGGTATTCGGTTCATTTCTGGCTGATTCAAGGTTGTTTAGCTGTTCTTCTGTCACAGCTTTCGACTGAAAAGCTGCTCAGTGGTGATGACAGTTTCAGAATTTAGCGTAGTCTCATCTTCAGAGTCTGAGCATGTTGGCAGTTGGTCAAATGTAATCATAAAAGTATCCATTTTCTGTTTGTGCGCAAAAGTAAGAAGAAAAGTTCACTGTTGTGATGACTGTTCTGATCTCCTCTAACAGGAAGTGTCCTCTCTGAAGAGCAGCATTCAGGATATGAGGATGTGGATGAGGAGCTTCTATCAGGTAAGAGGACCAGAACATGTGTGTGTTTTAAACTCTATTCCACTAAAAAAATATTAACCAATTAGAAATAAGAGAATTTCTTAAGTCAGTTTTAATTTATTCCAAGAACATTTTAGTTTAGAGTAAATCCAATAACTGAAACACAGCACTGGAGGTGGGTAGTTACTAATTACATTTATTAAGTCACATTTACTCAGTAAAATGATCAGGGATTTGTACTTTCCTGAGATTTTTCAAAGGATAATTCATTTTACTTCTGCTCAAAATATTTTAGTGAGTAAAGAAATCTACCAAATACTTTTACATTTTACTTTTACATTCTTATATTTTTTGTCCTTAACATTTAGTTACTAATTTTTTTTTTTTTATGTGTTTAATTGTGTTTTGTGGAGAACAGCATCTATGCTGCTTTGTGATTGGTCACTCCTCTGACTATTGGGGTCTATAATTACATTTTAGACCAAAAAGATGCCAAAGAACTGAATGATAGAGCCCAACAAACTACAGTTCCTATGTTAATAGATACTGAATAAACTAAGAAATGTCACTGCAGTTCTACCAGTTACTCACTTCTACTCATTATTTAAGTGTTACTATTTAATTGAAGTGTCAGTTAATTTGTTTCTCTGATTAATGATTTGATTCATTTCTACTTTAGAAGTTACTTTCAAAAATGAATTCCTTCATAATCTTAATGGGTTCAGGGTTTTGAAAATTGTCATGTAAAAACCGCTCTGAATGATTTTAAAATATAATTAAAACTAATATAAATAAAATGAATACATTTTTTATTTCTTTTTACAGCAAAGTCTCTGACTGGAGTAAAGGCAGAATATTATGATGATGTCACCACCAGTGGCCTGATAAGTGAGTTCCTTTATTAATTAATCACCTGATTTTATCTTTACATTAAACCACAATGTAAAATATGACTGAACTGTTTGTAAAGTCAGACTGCTTTTACTTGATTTAGGTGAATCAGCAAAAGAGGACACAGCAGAGAGCTATGATGATGCCATCACTGCTGGACAGATCTCTGACAGTGTAGCAGGTGTGTTTATAATTTGGAGTTTTAGTTTAGAAAGAAGTTTAAATGAAATAGAGATAAAAGGTTCAGAACAAATGCTGTAAAAATAGAATAACCAAATATTCAGTAGCTATAATGACTCATTTGTGGAGCTTTACTGTCCCCTACAGATACAGTCCACAATTACAGGCAGGCAGATATTTGGTTCCAGCAACATATGATCATCATGTCCACAAAATCTGGACAAAAATTGATTAATGTTAATTACATTGCATTTCATAAATAATTTACATAGATGAGCCAAAACATTAAGACCACACAAAAACATTAGCAGCAGATCCTTGAACTTGTCTGGCACATCCCACAGATACTTGATCGGATTGAGGTCTGGGGAATTTGGAAGCCACTGCAACACCTAGAAACTCTTCTTCACATTCCTCAAACCATTCCCTAACACTGTGTGCTTTGTCGTTCACTGGGCACCAAACACCCTGTTGCTGGTATCTGGTTTGTCCCTCCTCTGACCACTGTCGACAGATACTCACCACTGCTGACTGGGATCATCCCACAAGCCTACAGTTTCAGAAATGCTCTGACCCCGTCTTCTGACCAGAACTATTTGGCTCTTGTCAAAGTTAGTCAGGTCTTCATGTCTACCCATTTCTCCTACGTCCAATTCAATCAATAGCAAAGTAGTCTCATACAAACCCAACATTCAGTGAAATATACCTGAAACACCTGACAAATCTAAAATTTTATAGTTCTATTAATCTTTCCTTTATGTCTCCGTGTTTTGGTGTAGAGGACATAGCAGAGAATTATGATGATGTTACCTCTGCTAATCAGAGCTCGGCTATTGATCATTTGACTTGTAATGTAACAGTACTGTAATCTCAAACATGAACACAGTCACTGATTATACTGATGCTGATTTAATGACATTTATCTCTACATTTTGACAGAAGACATAACAGATAACTATGATGATGCAGTTACTGCTGGACCAAACTCCAACATTATGACAGGTAGGTTTTACTTAATGCAGAGAAATAATTTTAAACTAAAGCTTCAACACAGTAAAAATGTCAATTTTGCTTCTTATTGATATAATTTATCTTCCCATGTTTGTGTAGTGGACACACCAGAGAACTATGATGATGTCATCACAGCTGAACAGGATGTAGGAGAGGTAAAAGGTGAGTGGCTGATCTTGTTGTTTATGTTGCTACATTGCAGATTCACATGAATGAGGAGGGTGGAGTGAGAATTTAAATCAAGTGTTCAGGAAGTCTGAAAACATGTTTACATTATCAATGGAATATGATAAATAAACGGTTCTCATTATTTTGATGTGGGACAGAAAGCTCTTTTTACTGCACTGTCCATTCATATGTGAAGTGTAGGCACATGTATTCATGTATTCAGTTCAGAAGAGTAATTGATCTTAGTCACCTCCACACTCTAAGTGCAGTTTGTGTCACTGATGATGAAGTGTGTACTTGAATAATTCTTCAGCAGAGTTTTGTGACTCATTCTGTAATGCTGAATATCATTAGTACAGCACTGTCATTTTGGCAAAACTGAAAAGTAATCAGTCCTCTCTACATGTATAAAGTCTGGCTAATGAATAACTTTCTAATGTACAGTAACTGATGTATTTTGTCAGAATTTCTTCTTTTTCTGTTTAAATTTGTTGGAAGACATGGCAATCTGGCCAAAATGGCTCATCAGTTTAACCTAAAAAAATTACTTCATGTGGTAAAAAGTAAATTAACTAGTTTTACAACACAGCACCTCTATAAAGCTGTGTATCTGTAAAAACAACATTTAATTTTTTTTTCTCACTTCATTCACTGGGACTTATAGTCAATGTGAATCAGAAAACGACACACATTCTTTCCATATGATTATGTATTTCTGAGTGAAACACATCACAGAGCATCTCTGAGCTAGCTCAACGTCTCTCTCGGTGAAACATGATATCTGTAAATATTACTATATTAGTTTTATACTAATATAGTAATATTTAATCAAAAATCAGAATCTAAAAAAAAGAGGTGAGCAGAAGTCATTACATTTTGAAGGAAAATTCTAGTTAGTTTTATAGAAAAACAAGAATTTTGCCTTTTAAATGTTATGATGACCAGACACATTAAATAAAAGTTAAAAAAAGGTCCTTTTTGTTTTCAGGTTGAGTTTAATGAGCTGAGTTCCAGCCTGCAGTACTAAACAGAACCTGTTTACTGTTTTTAGGCATACAGTGTGCTATAAAATAAAGATGTGTTATTTGAGTTAAATGTACTTATTTTCCAGACTATGATGACGTGGAGGAGGAGCCTCAGACAGAGATGGATCATGTGACAGAGTCCACAGCCAGTGTCTTTCCTCAGGAAAATACATTCAAACCTCTTCAAACACAAGAAATGATTTCATCATCAATCACAAGTGGTTTAAACATCCCCCAATTTATGTAAACAAATTACTAATTACACATTTTTGGCACTTTCTTTAAGTTTTTCCAACCTTAGAAACATTTACGGACAAATCTCATCTTATTATGTTATTCCATCAAAATGATTGATTTTACTTTGATCTCTTAATCCAACTTTATCTTCATGAAAACATGTGAAAAAAATTGCGTGTGATGTGACAAAGGTTGTCAGTTATCAGATTTTATGAGAAATAATATATACTGAAAGATCTCTGGTCAGAAGTGAATGTTCAGTGATGATCAGTCAGAAACAGTAAAGTGCTGTTTCACTGTAACTGACTTGTATGACAGTTTTCTATTTTCAGTGTTGGCACAAAAAAAATCAAGCAGTCTCTTATAACAGTTCACTGTATTTGTTTTGATCATCCCTTTAATAAAATAATAAAATAATCAGTAGTGAAACACAATTACTCACCTAGTATTGTTACTTTTGTTTTTTTTTTCAACCGAAATAAAATACAATGAATAAAACTACACAAGGCAAAAATTTAAGTTAAATAAATTTACATTTATAAAATAAATTTTTAATAAAACAATGCAAAGGTTTGTTCAAATGAACAAACATAATATTTTACATCAATTCAATCTTCAAAAATACTTCAAATCCACTTTTGCCCAGTTACACTTTTTACTGCTTACATTGTAAAACGATTCAATACATTCTCTTTTACGCTTTTTGCATTTTTTTAATGATTGTGTGATTATTAAACTGATAATTTGAGATTCTTTCCACACAGGAATAATAATGACTGCATGTTAAATTCTGTATCTGGAGTTCTTATGATTTAAATATGGGTGGAATCTATTACTGTGGTCTGAGAGATGATTCTGTACTCCTTTCTTCTCTGTGCTGATCATTGTACACAGAGCATAAAGACTCATTATGACCAAAAAGCAAAATGCTCTGTATAAAAGTGATTTGTTGTTCTTTTGAAGGTTCTTTTAGAACATAAACACATCTGCTTCATAAGCTTGTTTGAACTGTTTTTTCATAAGAAGGCAGTGGTCCACACATGGGTGATGTCATGTTTAGATCATGTGACAACAGGGGTGCAAACTCGCTGTAGAAGAAAAAGATTTGTATGCTCATTGGTTAAAGCTGTGCTATAGTCACTTTCTCAAAGTTAACACAAAGCAGTACCTGACTGGTGTGCTAGGTGTTGCCTAATATTGGTTTTGTGTTTTCATGAAGGACAGAGAGATGCTAAAATTGCTTTTTTTCCGGCTGGAAAGATAATGAATTTAACATACAATTTTGATCTCCCTTACATCTTTGATAGATCAAATACTTCATTTATTATCAATTATTGTGAACACGATGAAAACGTTACACTGTTTAATTGTTTAAAACAGTATAGCAGTATTTTATCAATAGCAAACATGCTAATAGCATTCCCACTACACACTGAGCAACATCTTTAATCAATCTAAAAATAGAAATGATTACAGTTTCCATTCTGCAGCACATAGTGTTGATGTAATAGTAGATGATTCTCATCAGGAAGAGTAAATAACTCACTAAGCTGTGTTGCTGTCAGTCTGACACTTTCTCAGTAATGTCAGCTTTACCAGGTGAGAGCAAAGCTAGAGGACGATTCACATTTAAAGACAGAAATAGCTCAAACTCAATCATCACACAAAGCTGCTCTGTGCATTTGCTAGCAGTCATGTGTTACTTAGGCAGATAACAAGCAGAATCCTTCAAGTGAAAGACACACTTTGTACTAAAACGTGATCAGATCAAATCTCAGTGGATGTAAAAAAAAAAAATTACACTGATCTGGAAAGTCATATTGAGTTATAATGAGTTATAATAAGATGATCCAAGTACATGTACAGACTTAAAGACCTACTTACATTTATCTACATGAGCAGAATCAGGATGAATGTAAATTGATGCTCTTCACTTCAGATGATGTGAAACTCCTACTGGGTGCTTGACGCCCTCAGATCAGCTGCAGTCGCTATAATTCGGCAGCACAGAGTTCAAGATCCTGCAGGACCCTGGACAGCGTCCAGAACAGAGCTTATAAGGAGCTGATCACACACACGCTTAATAGCTCTACCACACACACACACACACACACACTTTCACACATATGTAACCAGCTCTATCACACACACCCACATCTAATAAGCTCTACCACACACAGCTTCACACACACCAAACCAGCCCTACCACACACAGCCTCACACACATACCTAACCATTTCTACCAAGCACACCACACAAGGACCACACACATACACACACCCCTTATCAGCACTACCACACACACACACACACACACACACACCCAACTAACTCAAACACACACACACACACACACACACACACTCTAACCCAGCCTAACTAGACCTTGCCAACATGAACACATTCGGTTTACATTTAGTTACCTGAAAGAGGAGTCATTTCAGCAGGTATTTGAATTTTAATACCTTAATTTCATGTGCTACTCACAAGGTGTGTAACGGAACAGAACCAGCCAGACACTTTACTTGAAAAGGGTTTGACAATATTCATAGTGGATAGTCAGGCAGTGGTTAAATCCAAAAAAGGCCAAAATACAGAGTAAGACAAACATATAAAATGATATCAGGCAACAAGATCCAAAAGGGCAAAGTAAAGAAATCCAAAAACACAGTCAGGAAACACAAAAGGCAATATAACAGACAGAAACGCTCAGTAGTTCTACAGAGAGATGCAATACCCTATTCTAAAAGCCTCTGCTTTTGTACTAAACCAAATTTATTCATATGACATACATCACAGGTGAAACAGGTCAGTATTCAGGTGAACTGGAACTGATTGGTGGATTGTAGACGTTCATGGGTCATGTGATCTCCCAGAAAGTTCTGGGAAGTGGAGTCTTTGGATGAGTCAGAGCTGGAGGGATGTGTGACAAGAGGAGTTTGTTTTCAATTTACTCTGGAACAGTAGAAGTCTGTTTAGACTGGATGAGCTTCACCCCTAATAATAAGACTGTAAATGTGTGCAGCTAATCATCTCACTTAATTTTGTGTATAAACCTCTCCTATTTAATAATGCAGCTGTTAACCTCCATGGCACTGCTGTTAGCCATTAGTCGTTTATATTCTCTGTGTTTGTTTCTGGTTAGTCCAAGATTTGTGTGCTATACTCTTTCTGAGCTACACAGGTTCAATAATTCCAATTTCCTCTCTAAAGCGGCTGCTGTATCTGCCTGTAAAGCAGGTATCTTGTCCCGATGTCGTTATGTCCACCGGGGCTCGAGACGGTATCGTAATAGATCCTTCCACTACTCGGAAGGCACTAATATATGTTCATTCTGGACTGCATCTCGTACAGTCGTTCATGCTGCATGTCGTACTGTCAATTTATGTAACCTATGCTCTCTGCCTCCTACTTCTCCTGGCACCTCTTTTGCACTCTTGAATTTCCGCTCTCTTTCTAGTAAATCGCCTGTGCTGCAGGAGTGTCTACTTGATAATATGATTGACTTGCTCTTCCTAACCGAAACCTGGCAACAAGCTGGTGACTTTTTTGCTTTAAACCAGGTAACTCCCACTAATTTCAAATACATATGTAAACCCTGTTCCTCTGGGCGAGGAGGAAGTCTGGCTGTAATTTTTAACAGTAAAATCATTATTACTGAACTTAGCCTTACAGCTGTAACCTCTTTTGAATATCTTGCTTTGAAATGACCCAATTCCATAATTGCAGTATTACTCTATCGCCCTCCAAAGCCTATTCCTCCTTTCCTTTCCGAACTATCTGAGCTACTTACACTTGTTTGCTCAATTTCTCCCCGCTTGTTGCTAATCGGTGACTTCAATATTCATGTAGACTCTCAAGACTGCAAAACTGCTAATGATTTCACCTCGCTCCTCGACTGTTTCCAACTCGTACAACATGTAGATTTTCCTACCCCCATAACAAAGGTCACACCCTCGATCTAGTCTGCTCTTCTTCTGTATCTATTCTTAATCTCCGCCCATCACTCCATTGTCTGATCACAAGCTTATTTTGTTAACGGCTCCTATGACTCTGCCTCACCGCTCTTTTAAAAGATCCATTTCATTCCGTAAGATTCAGTCTGTCGACCCCCTGACTCTTAGCCAGTCCATTTCTACTGTGTTTCCTACTGATTTTGCTCCTTCTTCTCCTGATGACCGTGCTACTGTGCTTAATGCTGCACTTTCTGACTCTCTTAATGCACTAGCACCTTGGAAATCTAAAACTGTTAACTTTATCACCACCTCTCCCTGGTATACCAATAAACTCCGCTCCATGAAGCAAAGTGGTCGCCGGTTGGAAAGGCTTTTCAGGAAAACAAAGCTCTCTGTTCAAGCGGAGGCATACAAACAACACCTCTTAGCTTATAGAGATGCCCTGCATTCAGCTAAATCAGCCTACCTCTCTGGTCTCATTAATAATTCAAACACAAACTCCCGTCATCTTTTTTCAAGTTACCAAATTATTTAAACCCCCTGAAACCTCTGTGGCTGCCTCCCCTGCACTCTGCGACTAATATTTACATTGTCACAATTCTTGTCATAACTCACTTCTCTATGTACAGGTACCCTCTGCTTACAAGATTGCTGCTATCACACCTATAATTAAAAAACCTGGCCTTGATCCACTAGAACTCAGTAATTACCGCCCCATTTCAAACCTCCCTTTCCTGTCCAAAGTACTTGAACGAACTGTGGCTAGCCAACTTCAGTATTACTTATCAGCTAACTGCCTCTTTAAACCATTCCAGTCTGGATTTCCTTAATAAAGGTCACTAATGACCTCCTGGTGTCTGCCGATATTGGTGCCCTTAGCATCCTTCTACTACTTGACTTGAGTGCAGCCTTTGATACAGTGAGCCACTCAATCCTCCTATCAAGGCTGCATGATCTGGGCATTAGGGGCACTGTCCTGGAGTGGTTTAAGTCATATCTGACTGACAGAAAACAGTTTGTCACCCTCGGTGACCATACTTCTCACACATCTGTGGTTACTCAGGGGGTCCCTCAAGGCTCAGTCCTTGGACCTCTTTTGTTTATTGTGTGTTACTGGCCCCAAGCCTAGGGTAAACCCAGGGCGCGGTACAACGCCCGATTCCCTTAATAAAAGAGAGAACGGACACAAACGTTTGATGTGCAATCCTTGGCATTCCAAACTTTATTTATACAAAAATACAGAAGACAATACCAATTTAAATACTCAGATATTAATCCTAACAAGCTCCCTAGAATAAATACTCAGAAAATGGAAACTAGACAAAGAAACTAGAAAAAAAAAAATAAAAACCACAAATTCACAAAATAACCCAATTAATCACTAATGGAATAGTAAACACAAACAAACAAACAAACAAACAAAACATTGTCAATGAAATAAGCCTAACAACAAAAATCAATTTGAAATACTCAAACTCATGAATACATAATTAAAAAAAGAAAAATTAAATTAATAAACCAATGTGGCTTAACTCAAGCTTATAAGAAAGAAAAATAAAGGAAAAAAAAAGGAAAAAACAAAGCAATAAATGGAAAACACCAATGTAACAAAACCCTAAGACCCATGTAAACCGTAATAAACTCTCACAGCTTCAGCGTAAAAGGGAATACTACAACCAGTTTAAAGTGCAAGTGCAATTAAAGTGCTTCTCAACTCAATTCACCAGCATTAAGGTGACAGTAATTCAATCAGAAGAGCGTTTCCACTCAAACACAACCACATACACAACAGCAAAAGCCTTCCTTCACAGAGCACCCCTGTAAAAACTCTTAACAGCTTAATTAGGCTAGCGCTAGAAGTTAATGTCAGCAGCGTGGCAATATCGCAGGCTCCGTGAGCTTACACGATGGCATAAAATTGTACAAAACACCAGGCACATAAAAATACATTCTAAGACCAGTAAAACAAGGCAGTAACAGATAAAACAACATTTCCATACCTTAATAAAAGAGAGAACGGACACAAACGTTTGATGTGCAATCCTTGGCGTTCAAAGTATTACTTCTTCGGCACGCTTTTTATGCACACCAACCATCCCCCTTAGGATGGAGCGCCCCCTGCTGGTCTAGTGCCGTTAACCCAGTTAGTACCCTTCTTACTCAAGCTGATCTGCTTTTTAAGACATGAAGTTTATTTTAAAAACCCAAACCCAAGAAAAGAATGAAAAGAAAGCACACACACAAAAAAAGGAAAATCACCTCGACATTTTTAAAACCCAACATGAATAACAAAAAAGATATATATGGGTGTTGATGCATCTGTATTAAGATTTTCAACCCCTTACACTTAGCTTATTGTAAAGTTACACCTAGACCGTTCTGAGGCCAGTTTTGTGACCACAGTGCTCGTGGACACACACTCTTCACAGTGTCATGGTCAGACTGAGTAGAGTATTTAATATGATTGACTTATCAATCTTGCCCCTACATGCAGTCTTTTGGGTGGGCTTACAGAGGGATGTCGTGGGAATAAAAGGTTTACACTCAGTTCTCTGTTACCCACAGTCTCTCCATCATTCTACAGTTCAAACTGTGATACTGTGTGATTTCAACTAGCACTTATTTACCCACTACACATTATGCCTTATAGATGCATATCATATGGAAGGGGGTCAGAGAGATGAACTAAGCAGCTGTGCTTCCCTCAGGCTTTATATCACCGACTAGTCATGAGGTCACATTAAGAAATGTATCACTGGCTTGATATCACTAACCAGTCAAGAGGTCACATTGAAAAATATCACATCATCTTACTAATCCAATGTGTCCATATCTGGTCACCACTGGTAAAGAGCACAGCTACAGTTGTGGTCTGCCTCTCCCACCAGATTCATCACACATTCACTAACATATTACTCATGATTTTCAAGTCACGTCTCATATCTACTGCTGTGAATATGATTGTATAAATGAGCAGTGAGCACTACATCACAGACACCTTTGAAAAAATGTAGGTGAACAGATCGTGTGAACACGTACAGGAACCAGTAAGTTTGAAAACCAGTTGAGACATAACGCTGCGGCCAGTACAACAACTTGGCGGCCAAAACCATAAATGATCCATAAAAAGTCATGTTACTAACCATGGCATAAAAATGTAACTAGCCTACTACAAGCACAGACACCTTCAATTAAACTGTTTACTGGAACTGAACAAGTGTTCATACAGCTCGACCTGCTTTCTCAGGTTTGACAGTGAATTTTTGAAGGCATTGATGAAGTTTGTGTTTGGTAAACAGAGCAAACATTTAAAACAATATGGATTTTTATTCATTTTAAAAATCTCAAACATGGACTTCAGATATGTCTTTATCATATTTATCTTTGTCATTTGGCACTGTAGCTGCTATTGGCTCTCTTTTGCGTATTTAAAGGGTGAAATCTTCTGCCACAGAAATATTCTCTCTCTGCTTCTGTACTGCTGACATCTGTGATATTTCTTCATACACTGTTAAAAATAAAGGTATTGTGCAGGTATGTTTTCGTTGGGGCACTGCCCCGGTGACAGTTTTGTACCATTATTTCTGAGAGTGTAGATTTGGAGCTGAAGAAGGATCAAGGTGACCTGAGAACTGTGAAGTTGTGGATTCTGGTGAGCTGTGGTCTTTTTAACAGGGTCAGACAGCACAGACAGGCATCCAGATCAGCCCCTAATCTCTCTAATTTAATTCTTCTTAATTATTAATATTTAAGCTGCTGATGAGCAGATAGTAAGTGTCACGCATCCCTCAGCCTCAGAGGTCTCTAGGGACTCCATTTCCCAGAATCCCCAGGGGGATCACATGATTCTCAGCCCTCCATCTTGCTCCAATCACCGCTCTCTGTGGCCTGAGTTTTAACTGGTTACATCTGTTCTGATATAATTAGGTTAGTATAAAGCCCGGGCTTTTAGTCTAATTCGATGTGAGGTATTGATGATGCTTTATGTTTAAGGGATACTGAGCGGGGTTTTCTTCTGTCTAGCGTGGTTTTTCCGGTTTTGACTGTTGCCTTGTTATGTTTGTCTTTTTGTGTCTCTTGACTTTGCTGGATTCGACCTTTGCCTGTTTTTTGACCACGTTTTTGGATTACGACTCAAACGTTAAAGCCATCACCTTTTTTTTAACCGCGAGCGTCTGAGTTATTCTGCCTCGTCATCTTCAATAAAATGTTGAAGAGTTAGTGGGACATGAGAGGTGTAAGAGATCCATAGTTTTCTGGTCATATCTCTTCCACAGTGTCCCCTCTTTTGGGATTTATAACGACACTATTGTTAAAGTAGGTTTCCCCTTGACTGTAGAGCCACATCTGTATTGAGGATTTTTTTCAATATGTCAAAGAACAACAGCAAATATTGACTTCCTCAGTTTATTCGCCAGGCAGTGAGGATGGAGTACATCAACTGTTCCCACCCACAGCTGTTGTATCATCACAGCATGCTGGCACACTTCATATAAAGTGGTCTATATTACATGCTTGTTAGCAATGTGCTTATAAAAAAGTTTATTGGATTTTAGTTTGTTATTGATGTTCCAAGAATGCATTGAATGTGTAAATGCTATTTCACCTACTGTGAACAATTTTTGTGAAAAACATTTTTACTGAACATTTTTGAATATTATATTTGAACCCTGCTATATAATATTGACATAACCATGCGGTAAACATGACATGTTAGATGTCGTATGCTGTCATGTTAAGAGACGTCCTTTATTTCCAGGACTCATATGTATCAAGCATCGTAGAGTAAGAATTAGGTCTAATCCATTCGTGTAGTTCTACACAGCTTTATGTAAAAGGCATAAATTGATTGAAGAAATTGGTTAAATTAGAATTTTTAACCTATATTTTAATATGTATTTTGTATGTCTTGTCTTCAGGCAAGCCCGTCTGAATGAAGTTGCTGAAAGATATTATGGAAAAGCAGCAGATCTAAGACCAGAGCTGTCTACTAAATCCACAGCCATCAATATAAGTAAAAGCATTAAATTATAATATTATACTTTAATTATAATACTGAGGGTTGAATTGTTGAAATCTCAGTCTCACTAAACAGTCCAGGGCAGGAGACAGAGGAGGGACAGGACAGACAAAGATCACGAGACAAGATGGACACAGGGGCAGGGGACAAGTCTGACAGTGCTGGTCTTGGCTTTGAGGGCCTTGTTGGCAACCTCTGAGGTGACCACAGGTATGGTGAGAGGCACAGGACTATGCATGGGCTAAATAAAGTATGAGGCTGCAGGGAAAGTGGTGATGTCATCAGCCACTGTTATAGATGCTGAAGAGGTTGTGGACTGTGTGGCCCACTCAGACCCAGTGGAAGTGACGTCTTCGCTGCAGGATGCCAGCACTCCATACTAGAAACTGAAACACGAAAACAAACAGAATATTACTTTTACAGATGATGCACTGTGTTTGTACATTACTGTTTAAACAGAACACATTCACACAAACACATGTACATCTTTGGTTCAGGTGTCAGGCAGCATTCATTGTCAGTACTAAGAACATTCACTACACTCAACTATGTTTTTCTTTTTATAAAACAAGATATAAAAATGCTTTTCATGAAGAAAATCACTCACTGTTTTTTCAGCTTGACCACTAAAACATTTGGTCTCACTCTCTCAGTATGCTGCTGCGCTGTTGAACCTTGGGGTCATCCTCCACCTCAGTGGGAAACTTCAGCCGAGGCCAACTACCTCCGTGCCCTACGGCTCAATCAGACGACCTGATCACACGGTCCAACCTGCGCAAACGGGTGTGAGGGGCTCGGGGTCGTGACCCTGCTTGTGCTCCTCTGGTGTGGACGGGCTGGTGATGTGGGAGCAGAATCAGCTTGCATGGATCTGTGAGTCTGACAGACGGAGGACTTCCACCTCACACCCTGATGACCGAGAGAGGACCAGTGGAAGTGTCAGTACTTTAAACACCAGTACCTCACTTCTAGGAACATCGACTGTGAATAACACACAGCTGAAGGGAAAGAGTTTCTGTGTTTTGTGAGTCATTCTGGAGGTCAGAATTGTGATTATTGTAATTGGTCACTTCTGCTGTTTACTTCAGTAATATGGGAGAAGATTTTGCAGATAAATTATCATGCTGGTCATCAACAACACACTTAAGTGTGAACTGACAGGAGATATTTTGAATATTGTTTTCAATGAAATTAAAAAAACCTAGAAGGATTGTCCAAGAAGTGAATGCCATGAAGGAGAAATGATCATGTACTGTATGTTGTTATTGTTTTTGTATGGAAACTGTTAATTTATTGGGGCCTTTTTCACTCCCACATTAATTAGTTCAGTAATAAATAATGAACTGTTCCTCCTCAGAAATGTCAGATCATAAACAGCTCTCTGTTTGAAGATGTTCATGAGTGATAGATTCTAGTTCTAGATTCAGTGAAGTTTATTTGACTGATGATCTTTTCTTGATAATTTATTATGAAACATTTTGCAATTATCATGATTATTATTATTATTATTATTGTTGTTGTTGTTGTTGTTGTTGTTGTTGTTCCACATCACTCCTTTACCAAAATCAAGTCAACTAAAGATCATGCTGATTGTCCTAAAGTTAGTCTGTGATTCCTGCCTGGATTCAAAATGTTACATAACTTATTATTTCACTCACTTTTAAAATGCTCACTCACATACATTTCTCTTATACTTTATTTCGGTGATACTGTGACATCGCACTTGTTGACAATTGATGCTTGCACGTGATGCAGATTAAATTGACTGTGAAATGAAACTGACATGAAATATTTATGAAACATATATTTTATTTTTTTATTTTTTTATATTTTTAAATATCTTGGAGGACAGCTGAGAAGTCGTGATAGGACGCCAGCGGTCATATCAAAATAGTGTAGTAAAAACAGACGTCACAGACAGATTTTAGTGCTCTGCTGCCATCTTGTGTAGAAAAATAATCATTGCAGTGATAAATGCACAATGTCTCTAAGAACTTCTATAAACGTATGTGGGTAAAAGTGTTAAAGTAAATTATTGTGTTAACATAGTGTTCTCTTTATTAAATCACAGTTTATTCTGAAAATGTATTTTTTATTTGTGGTTTACTTACATTTTGATCTGTTTGACGAAAGATTTAGAAAAAAATGCTTTTCACTCATTATTCACTTCTCTACTAGTGATCATTTATTTATTAGATTTTTAGTCAGTTGATTTTGTTTTGAACTTAATGTTTTCATTTCTGTGTGTCTGTATTCTAACTCAGAGCTTTGTGTGTGTGTGTGTGTGTGTGTGTGTGTGTGTGAATAGGTTGTCTGTGTGTTTGTGTGTGTGTGTGTGTGAGAGAGAGAGAGAGAGAGAGAGAAAGAGAGAGAGAGAGCTCCCCACAGCCGCCAATCACATGTTTGATTGATTGATTGATTGACTGATTGATTAAAACTGCACAGAAAACAATATACTGTGTCTTGTCAGACCAGATAACATTATCAAATCTCTCTCTCTCTCTCTCTCTCTCTCTCTCTCTCTCTCTCTCTCTCTAAGTTGTACAGTCAGTGTGAGGTTGGTGGACAGTGACAGTTGCTGTGCTGGGAGAGTGGAGATACATTATAATGATCAGTATGCATTGGCCCACAGAGACCACTATTGCACAATTCCAACAGCTGCTTGAAACAGTCTGTTGTTATCTTCTTTTTAGTGACTAAATGTCGCTGAAACTACAAACCCCAACAGTGCATACTTGAAACTGTATCATCAAATAATTTGTGATTAAATAAATGCAATAATCTATCATCAAATAACATGTCTACTTACAAATTTGGCAATGTTCCAAGTAAATATTTGACCTGTTATTTTTAAATTATTTTTTAACATGTTTATTGATTAAAAAATAAAACAAATGAAAGATGTACATATGCAAATTTGTACTTACAAGCTAAGTAAGTAATTACTCAGTAATATTAGATCAAATAAATATGTAAAAATATTAAACTTTTTAAGTTTACTGGATTAATAATCGATTTAAATTAGAAAAATTAAAAATATGTGTGTGTGTGTGTGTGTGTGTGTGTGTGTGTGTTTGTGTGTGTGTGTCAAAACAAAACAAAATAAATTGGGCAATACATTGAGAAGAAAGATACACAAACCTAAATGTGCTCACTATTATCACTTTATCACCAGTACCTCAGTGAGTGGGGCATAGTGTATGATGTAAGCTGGGATATGAGAGCTGCCAGTGTCCTCTGTGGTCAGCTGAAGTGTGGGAATGCTGTGGCTGTGTTGGGGTCAGACTGGTTTGGGGAGGGGAGTGGCCAGATCTGGGCTGATGTGTGTGATTGTCAGGGGAAGAAACACACCTGTCAAAATGTCCCATTTCATCATGGAGTCGAACTGCATGCTTACATAAACAGGATGTTGGAGTCATCTGCGAAAGTGAGCTCTCAAAACTGTGCACTGCATATGAAAGTAATTAATATCATGTTAGTAAATGAGTGTCAATGACACCTTCAAATTAAAAAATAAATTATTAACAGATACTTTTCCTCTTCAGGTTCCTCTCTGGCATTTCTTGAGGGGCGAGTGCGGTTGTCTGGAGGGATGGATTGTGAGGGTGAGGTGGAGGTTTATTTCAGGCAAAACTGGACAAGAGTTCTGCTGGACTCTGCGAGTGAGTCTGTGGCCTCTGTGGTCTGCAGACAGCTGGGCTGTGGCTCTATGTTCAGCTTCTCCAGCTCCTCTACATCCAGTCCTGAACACAGACACATGTGTATGACGGGTTTCAGTTGTTCTGGGAGTGAAGCTCATCTGGGGAACTGCAGCAGCGCATAAGCAGTCAACTGCAGCTCCAGAGAACAGCTCTCAATCACCTGCTCTGGTAGGAATTACAGCAGTTAAATGATCAAAGTTACTAAGAATCTTCTTGAAAAGTTCTCTCAAAAATATATTGTAATCTTTATTGTTCATTTCACAGTCAGGACAGTTATTTTCTTCATAATGTAGAAAATCAATAAGCCATGTCGTTCTATAGCAGCTGTAACATGTGTGTGTAGGTAAGTTTAATTCAGCTCACAGCTCCATCAGGCTGGTTGGCTCTGGGGGAGACTGTGCAGGAAGGCTGGAGGTTTTCCAAAATGGCTCATGGGGGACAGTGTGCGATGACTTGTGGGATACTGAGGATGCGCCGGTGGTCTGCAGACAGCTGCAGTGTGGAGTGGCCATCAGTGATCCGGTACCAGCCTGGTTTGGACCTGGAACTGGACCCATATGGCTGAATGAGGTGGAGTGTGAGGGGAGCGAGATGTCCCTGTTGAACTGCTGATTTCAGCTGTGTGGAGAGGATGAATGTGAACACATGGAGGATGTAGGAGTCGTGTGCTCAGGTAAAATGTGCTAAATGCTGTTGTTCTTGAAATTTTGAGCCAGCTGTATTTGACAGATCCTTCGAAGTTACACAGCCTTTTAAAATGTTATAAAGATACATACTGCAAATTTCAAACTACTGATATTCACAGTAAAACGCTAAACTTCTAAAGCAGTGTATTTTAATACTAGGTAACTGTGAAAGTAATACTACATAGCAGTTTATTTATTTAAAGCAAAGTTTTTCTTTTCCCAACAGAGTTTAAAGAGATCAGACTCACTGAGGACTGTGAGGGGAATCTGGAAGTGTTCTATAATGGAACCTGGGGTAATGTGTGTGTAAATGGGATGGATGAAGAAACAGTAAGTCTCATCTGTCAGGAGCTGAACTGTGGAAGATCTGGCAGTGAGAGACCTACCAAAGCAAGAGTGGAATCGGCTCCTAACTGGCTGGGTAATCTGAAATGTAAGAAACATGACTCCACTCTGTGGCATTGTCCATCTTCCCCCTGGAGACAGAACTACTGTGATAAAAACAGCGAGGTGGCTCACATTACCTGCTCAGGTAGGCAGTTCCTCTCTATAGATTAGAGTGCTTTTATTTACACTACCATGTGAAAAAAGTGGGCCAAGCCCAAAAACAATGGTTTTACTGATGATCAGAGTCCAGATTTAAATCAGATTTATATTTGATCTCACATAAACACAAGCTAGGTTGGCAATGTTTTTCAGCTGTTTGAAGCCATCAGTGCTGAGAGGAACAATACTGACTCTTCTTTCTGTAACGGGCTGTCTGCAGGTTTACCCACAAGATGTCAACATTTAAAGAAGTCAAAGGGAAAAGCTCAAACATACTACAATACTTTATCTATTTGTTTAATTCTTGCTAATTTACTGACTAATGATTTGTTGTTAAAAGCTTGATATTTTGCCATTTTAGGTCCATTTCTCTGCACGAGAGTGTATTGGAATGAGCAAAGATATTTTTTATTGCCATGAAATACAGCTCATGAAATAGTCAGTCTGCATACAGACAGAGTGATCTGGGTGTTTATTTCATTTTTGATTTAATTTTTGTTGTCATAGCAGACCAAAGACGCCAGCACACCCGTCAGGCATGCTCTTCATCTCTCGACCAGAAACAGGCTCAAGTAAGAATATTTATTAAATTAATCTACAGAACAGAGAATTAAGACAGCTTAGTCAGATAAGACAGCTTACATCATGCCACGCTGTTCATGATTTTACATTTACATTTACATCATTTAGCAGACGCTCTTATCCAGAGCGACTTACAAAAAGTGCTTTGTCTATCCAGAGAAAGAATTTTCGCTAGCTACCAATAGGTTAGAGAGAAAGCCAGTCCTAAGCTCAGATACTGCTAGAATCAGAAGGTCATTGACACCTAGTGAAAAAGGGACAGAGTTAAACACAGAACAGTGCAATACAATA